AAGAGTTTTTTGAACCCAGGAAGCTTACATTCTATATGCTCTGTGTCGATGTACTTGGACTTACTTGAGGCATTTCTTAAACCATCTCTCACAGGAAGTATTTTCAATAAAACCTTTTCACACACTCTACGCAGTTGGAGTTGATTAAGAACTTTATGTAACACTCTCCGTCGCAGAAAAATTAATAATATCTACAACTTGTATTATCGATACTCGATGATAAATCGATTAATATCTTGCAGTAGTGTTGCAAAACTATCTATATTCGCCATATACTTCAGTTCCTATAAGGAGCTCTACATATGATAGTTTTGACTTATTCCTAAAATTTAAGCACAAAATTTTAGCATATAATCGAGATAAACTATAGATAAAGAAACGCCGAGATGTAGATATTATTAGTATCGATAACTGTGCTGTACAATCCGAAGAAACTTTGTTTTTTCTTTAACTTATCCCATATCCCATAACTTACAATCTGGGCATCTGAGCCAGAAACATGTTCGGTTTGCCTGGTTTAAGGATTCGCTATATATATATATATATATATATTGTTTTTATATTTTTATTAGTTGAGTGAGTTTTTGTGCATAGAGTTATTCCGTTCAAGCTAAGGCTCAGCTATTTTTATTCCTTTAATCCCGTTTAAGGTTCGGCTCGTGATTATAAGGTTATGAGTTTGATTTGAGCTGTTCTCTAACCAAATCGGCCTTACTTTTTGGCGTACAGGGTATCAATGAGTCTGCCGCTGTTGTTCTTCCTGCTGCTGCTGCTTTGTGTGCCGAATCCTTTATTCTTTATCCTTTATTGTTATGTGTGTAATTCGCTACGTTCTTCAGCAGAGGCTACACCTTTCATAGAATATCGGGTGTCCTGCGGAGGCGCCTCTCCCCCTCCCCCTCCCCTCGGCTGGACCATTTTCGGCTTATTGTTATTGATGTTCTTATCAGTCGCAATTATTTTTTTGATTTACACATTTCGTTTGCCTCTTTTTCCCTTTTTTTTCATTGGTGACAATTTTCTCGCGTCGTTTGCGGTTTTACATGATGGAGGAGGAGGAGAATGAGGGAGCACGAGTTCTCGCATTGGCGGATAGGTAGAGATAGGCAGCGGCAGAGCTGGCTCAGTTCTCGCTCATTTATGAAGGCAGGGGCTTAGCCTCAGATGAGATTTTAGTGGTTGCCGGTGGTCTGCGGGCTGGACGGGGGGGTAAACAGTTTGCATTATTGACAGTTGTTGCGGAATAATCAGATTTAAAACGTTAAATGTCGACGCCGTTTTGTTGGGTATTTTTTCTGGTCCCTGCCTCTAGCCGCTCGACTGCCCGCCTCTCTGCCTGCCTGGATGCCATATTTTGTGTGCCTTTGTTTTGCGTTCGGGTTTTGTCCTCGGCTTTTATCTTGTTGGCTTGTTTTTTGGCAACATTGCCGCAGATTGGCTTTGAATTTAAGTAGCAATTTCCTGTTGTTGCAGTTGTTGTTTTTGTTGTCTCCATTGTTGCTGGCCGTGTGGACCTGAGCATGTAATGAAAGTTGAAATTTTTGGGCCAGTGCCCAAATGGGCGAGCCCATAAGTCAGCTCCGACAATAACTGATAATATTTTCACGTGCAATTTTCAGCAGGTAACAACTACAACAAATTTGATTGCTATTCACTTTCGGACGGCACTTTAAGGCATGTGCCCGAAAAGAGCTATGCAAATAACTATATTGTTTACTAACAGACCTTGAGTCACTTTCAATTGATCACATATTTGGGTCTACATAAAGATTTTTTTTAGAAAATGTTTGTGCTCATCTCCTGTTAGTCTTGGGTGCTTTTACAACGTTATTATATTCGGACAAACGGTTAATAAGACAAATGGACATGCCTGACCTGCTTTACTATGGGCTAAATAAAATGCATTTATCTGAAACTTTTACTTTGTTTTTATGATAACTTAATCGAACTCATAATATAACATAGAACTATTGTATCCTTCCATTTTTGTAATTCTTAATTGAGAACTTCTTATAATAGAATTTATATTCTATATTTGATTCACTTCACTTCAGTTACTCTAAAGTGTCATCCCTATACTTGTCTTACGTAATTACGTAATTAAGTGTAATAATAATAATAATGTATACAAAATAAAATAACTAAAAGAAAAAAATGTAGAGCTGCTTTAAGAAATAAATGAAAATATATATATAAACTTTCACGTTACAACGTTAACATTTTGCGTAACGTAACAAATCGTAATATTACCATATAAAACCTACATGTGTTTATTTTTGCTAGCTTTGCTGTGTCGTCTTCCCCATCTTCTTCCACTCTCCCTCTCTATCTCTTCTTCTTCTCCCCATCTTAACGTAACCACATGATACTTGTGCTAATCAAAGCTAGCACAGCGTCTAATCCTGTCTAACGGTTGTTAACTACGTAATATGTTTGTCAATTTTCAACGTAATCACGTACAACGTAATCCCACGTAAGGTGCCATCTAATGTCACGTAAGCTCTTTTATCACATTTAGTGCACTGCAGGTAACCCTGTCCCAGTATCATCCCCATCCCCCCCTGGTCCGCTGCATTCAGTCGTTGTCATCTGCGAAGTGCATTTGCTTAACACATTCCCGAGTTGCACTCAGTTTGTTTCTTCTTCAGCCTGCAGCAGGCGAGGCAGCCTTCTGGCTTTCATATAGCAGCACACACACACACACTCACACACACACACTCGCACACATTCGCATAATCAAATTCAATTGCTCATTCAAAACATTAAACTGTTTATTTTCGGATGGGCGTTCGACGCTGTCATTGGTATGGCTATGGGCGGGATGGGGTGGGGGGAGCAGGTGGGGTGCGTCGGCTCAAGTGGCAAAGGCACTTCATCATGCCGCCTAATCATTTGACCCACTTGAGAGAGCTGAGCAAATACTTTTTACGTTGTTCCCACCCATCCAACCCCCCACTCACGCCGTCTGCCGTCTGCCGTCTTGCATGCAATCAGGCTGCCCCCCTCACCGAATCGCAGACAGAGACAGAGAGTGAAAGAAAGATAGAAAGAGAGCGAGCGAGCGGCACACATGAGCCGGGGTCTAATCCTTTCAACAGTCGACTCGAAGTCGTGAAGCATTTTTGCATGCATGCAGCAATCATAGAGCTAGACGGCGGGAGGGGATGGACGGGTTTTGGCAGTGAAGGCAAGGAATTTGGAAAATCTCAGCTCAGTGTCAGGTTGCACGTTGAAAATTTGTCGTCATCGTGTCTCGCACACAAAAATGGCGTTAAGCATAGAATTCTGCCAAGCAGCTAAAGCAAAGAAACAAGAAGAGGAAGAGCCAAAGAGTTTGTGTGTGTGTGTGTGTGTGGGGGGGGGGGGGGAAGTCTGGCGGCTGGGCAGAGGCAAAGACAAACACATCTCGAGGACGCGCCTTGGCTGCGGCTCAAGGATAAGGCGCAAAATAATAAATTATATTTGCGTGATTTGTGTTTAGTTGTTGTTGCTTCTCTTGCGCTTATTATTCCTGTTGTTGTTGTTGCTGTTGTTTTTGTTACTCTTTGCATATATTTTGTAATGCTTCAAATGTTGAACATAAATTTCAAAAATTTAACTTGCCGCCTGCCTTTGATGCTGTTTTTCTTTGTTGTTGGCTGCTTGATTAGCAAGAGAGACAGAGAGAGAGAGCGCGCGTCACGCTCTCTTAAGCACGTGCACTCGCTCACTGGAAGGCTGCGCAGCGGCCACGCACAGCGTTCGCTTGGCCGTGCGGTTAAGAGAGCGCGTGCAGTGCGTTGCTCTTAGCTGTTGCCAGAGTTGCCAGCGTGGAAATGTGAAATTGTGTGCGCATTTCAAGCTGTGTTTTTGAAGTTTATTTCAATATTTTCTGCTGACTCGCCGCCTGCCCCTTTGCAATGCTTGCACCTTATATGCTTGCAATTTTTCTCACACACTTAACACATGAATGCACACACAACACGCACGCACACAAATCAAAACAGCATTAGTTGCGCTTTTTCTGCCTGAAAGGATAACATTTAAGCGCTTGGCTGGGGTCAGCAGTTGACAGTTTAGAGTTCACCCATCTGGCAGCCCACCAAGGCATAAACGAAAACAAAACAAACAGAAAATGCAATAAATAGAAAATGAAATGAAAAGGAACTAAATTTGACGCGTGCCCAACTCAAGTTTTAATCAGCAATTTAATTTCAATTGAGAGCGTCATCTCAGTCTCCGTGTCAGTCTCAGTCTCAGCGTTGCCCCATCGTGAGCAAAACCCCATGTAATACCCACTGGTCTAACAAATTGTGCTTCATCATCGCAAGCCTGCAAGCCATTAAATGTAGAGCTCTTAAGTCGGGCGCGTTTCTATTTAGGGTTGCGCTGCAACAATGCGCATTTCTTTTTAGCAACAGGATTAACGTGAGCTTCCAAAAAAAAAAAAAAAACAAAAACAAGGATGCTCTAGAGGTGTGTGGTTGACTAGAAGATACCCTGTACTCGGCGTTAAGCAGCCGCTACAAGAATTAGAACATCCTTTCACACATACATATGTATTCAAAAATAAACACACACACGCTTGCTGCTAACTGTGCTTCCTCTTCTGATAGCCCCATACTATGATACATGCGTTTTGGAATAACTCTGGTATTTACTGACCGATCTTTATGAAATTTGAAAGGAATAATCATGATATTCAAATGTGAGTAGATACCAAATTTAAGGCGAAAATGAGTTTTGGATTGCCTTTTTTGCTGGGATTGGTGGAGGTATCTAAAAAAGTTAATTATTCTGGATTTGTGTTTGCTCTAAAAGAACTAACATAGGAAACTTGGAGACTCTGGCTTTCATAATCTTCGAGTTTTGCTTAAAAAGCTTGCTTTAAAACCGATATATATCGAAATCATGTAAATGCGAATATTTAAAAACTAATTATAAACATGCTTTGCCTATGATATGGGAGAGTATACATTTCAAGTACAAGTTTATAGCTCTTTTAGGAGGGACGCACTTGCTTCTTTCTGTCTGTTACATATATTTGAGCGCAACGATCATACCCTGTTGCAGCCGTTTCCAATGGGTACAGGGTATACAATATAGAAATTGCTTACAATTGTCAAACAGATGCAGCAGCAACCCCTGAGCTCAATATGCGAACCCAAATAGCCGAATGCGAACCCAACCCCCACCCCAATGCAACCGCAACAGCAACACTAACAGCTTTTGTGTGTGTGCGTGTGTGTGCGCGCGTGTGTGTGAAATGCCAATGACATTTTTCACTCATCCCCCCGGATACCCCTCGCTCAGCTCATTTTTCACATATTTTTGCCAAACTGCAACTATTTTTGGGAACTGCCGCGATAACCCCGCTTCTGAGGGGTGACTCCTCCCCTTGTTGTTGTTGTTGTTGTTGTGCCGGCACTCGAGACCGTTAATTGGTTTTATTCTTAATGATGTTTAGGCGAGACAAAGTCTTGTCTTTCTTTCAAGCCAGCCCACGCGGATATTTCGGCATCTGCAACTGCGACTCACACACATATTTATGTAAATTCCGGGCGGGAGTTTTCAGTGATTTATGTTTTCCACTCTCAGCCAGCCGTGGAGTTTGTTTTTCATTTCTGCTGGTGTGAAAAACAATTCAACAGCTAATTGAGCAACTGCAGAAAGCGAGAACTCGGACGGCTCAGGGCCCTACAAATAGAAGATATATGTGCATATAACTGCAACTCAAGTGCGGATAATGGGTAGGTATTATAGTTAACCAAGTGCGGGTCTTAATGGTTTTTCAATTGAGTCAAGCGACTGGGAAGGGCTGGAAATGGATAAATGTTAACGAATTTTGAAAAATATGTAGTTATACGTATGTAGGATTCAAAACTCTAGGCAAACTGTTTAAACTGGGATATTATTAGAAGGCTTAAAAAAATGTAAGAGCATAAATTGCGGTACTTTAAAATTGCTTGGAATTAAACTAAAAAAACTTCAGAGCGAACATAAAACTCTTCCTTTCGCCCTAAGCTGATCCACAAATATTATTGACTGACAGTTTTTTCATTATTTTTTGTGCTTGACAATATTAACATTTCAATTTTATTGTATTATTTCTTTGTGCTCAATAATTTATGATTAATTCTTGAAGGCATTGAGTAATATTCAGTAATATTTTAAATCATTTTTATACCCTGAACCCATTAAAAATGGGTAAAAAGGGTATAATGTATTTGTGCAAATGTATGTAACAGGTAGAAGGAAACATCTCCGACCCCATAAAGTATATATATTCTTGATCAGCATCAATAGCCGAGTCGATCTAGCCATATCCGTCTGCTTGTCTGTCCGTCCGTCCGCCAGGCTAATGTTACACATGATAATAATAACCAATAATGTAAGCTATTATTTGATATCTTCTAATAAGACTAATGAAATTTTGACAATCTTATAGAAAAGTTTAAATTTATTTATTAATCTTTTTTAATTGACAGTTTCATTTGAACTGATTTATTTTAGAAGCTCCAGTTTTCGATTTGTTTCAAAATTTGTAAATTGCCTCTAATCAGTACAGCCTTTCAATGACTGCGATTCCATGCACACCTGCATGGGGCACAACAGGTGTGTCCTTGTCGTAGGGTCGGCTAAGCCAGCGCAGGCAGCAAAGGCAGCAGCAGCGACTGCGGGTGCAGTGAACAATGCAAGTTAGTCAGTGAGGGGAATTATGCCATTAAATGTCCCTTTTAACACCCACGCAGAAAGCGTGGTCTCAGTCGCCGCTGATCTCTAATTTATTAGCAATGCAGTTGCAGTCGCAGTCGGCCGACGGCAGAGGACGACGTTGCGAGGACGTCGCAAATGCCGACAAAGGCGTGCATGGACAAAAACAAAAATAAAAGCCGGCAAGCCGCACACAAAGAGGACAGAGTGCGCCAGCTGTCCAACTGAGAGAGCGAGAGAGTGAGCGAATGTGTGGCGAAGGAAAGGAGCTGAAAGAGAGTTCGCTCACTGGAAGCAGCATACGATATGCTAGCAGCATTACGTTCCGTTGGCTGCCATCGTTCCGTTAGTTTGCGAGCGTTTGTCGTTGGCATCGGACGTGCGTCGTGTTTAGTCGAAAGCAATACGGTAAATTGTTACGTTTAAAACGGTACAGCGCGTGCATGCTGCAATTTTTACGAATCATTTTTTATATGCGCTCTAAGCTAATTGCGAGTCAAAGAAAAAACGGTTGACAGCTCTGTAGCATTTGGCGCTGTGCCCGCGAGAAACTCATTAAAAAGTTCGACGCTTGACATGTTAAATATGCACAATAAACACGCGGCACAACAAGGCAAACATAATTAATTGCCCGCCCGGCCGTCTCTGTCTGTCAGTCTCCATCTCTCTATATTTCCCTCTGTGTGTGTGTGCGTGTGTTCGAGTGTTAAATAAAAATCAAAATTAATTGCATTTCAAGCATATTTAAATACGCATTAAGCGTCGCATAAACGTTGAAGAGCTCAACGAGTTTGCGGTTTCAATTGTGAGTAAACAGCGAACAGCTACAACAACTACAACAACAACAGGAACAACTGTCGTCGCTGCTGCTTGTTGTGCGCGCAATTTCCGGTTTCCGTTTCCGCCGCGCGACATTCGCGTCCGCTGCAAAAAGTTCTGCCAAAAGTCGCCGCTGCCCACCAAATTTGTCAGCAGCAGCAACAAGCATAAAAAAAGTGTTAAATCGCCGCAGATCGCCAGTGTTGCCTGACCAGAAAAAAAAGGTGCTGCATCTTTCAGGCTCCAAAAAAAAATATAAATATATTCATAAGAGCAGCTTAAAGCGCCGCCAACTGGCCTGCAGCTGCAGCGTTGCCAATTTTCGCTAAAGCGCAGTTTTAGTATTGTTAGTATACAACAAATATTTGCCAAAAAAATACTAGTTGACGATTTAATAAATACCAGCATAAAAAAAGTGTTGCCCACTTGGCGGCTGCTCGTTAAATTTTCGCAATAACAACAACAAATTCAACAAGGTGGACGCTCAACTGGATCAAAGCAAAAACACATCTAAGCAGGTTGGTGAATTAGAACTTTATTTTTCGCCTCTGTTTACACTTCTTCTTCGCAAGCTTTTATTTATTTTTTATTTATTACATTTTGGCATTTAATTTCATGCTCAGCGACAACAGCAAATACATTTTTTAGTTTCAGACGCGTTAAACAAAACCCAACAAGCATGAGCCAAGCAGCAAAGCTTGCGTGCAATTGCTCGAGTCTCAGATACCGCTTAAATTATCGAATGTGTTTAAATAATTTGTACCCTCTAATTTATGTGTATATAACCAACTTTGTTTTGTTAACTTTTTTTGTTAGACTTAACTGTAAAAATGATTTATATTGTAAATATTCATATACATTAGTACAATTAAAGTTGTTCCCATAATAACAGTAAAGTTAAAAAAAATTAAACTAAAATTAGATATCTTGACTGGGAGAAGACCCTATTCATGTTTATTAGTTGAGTCTCATCTTGAAAAATGTTAATTATTTTAATCTTATCTCTACAAATGCGCACATTATTTAATATATATTTAATTACAGTTATAATTTTGTTTCATATTCTCCTATTCTGGAAAACTTTTTTAATTTTAAATTGATTCAACTTTAAAAATGCCCGTAGCATATGAATTTAAGTATAAATATTTAAATACACATTTGATTTATGGATTTTTCGGAATTTGTGGTTCTAGTTAGAGCCCACTTACCAGAAATATTATAAATATTCTTGGAAGTTGAGTTATTATAAAATTATTCCAAAAATTTTAATTCTGATAGTTTTCTTTCTCTTCTTAAAAAAATAATTTCAACAGAATATTTCCCAAATAAATAAACCAAACAAATTAAAGTGCTCAATAGAAGCAAAAACAAAAAAAATATAACAACATTTCTGAAAAAATATATTACAGTGCATGCATTTCAAATGAAAATTCTTTCGATCTGCGAAATTCCAGAAGTGAAAATTTCGGAGAATTCGGTCTATTTAGGTGCGCAATAAAAGATTATTGCAAAATCTCGAAAAATCGTTGGAAAATTGTTTTTGTTTGGGTCGTGAAAGAAAAACAGGGGATAACTATTTATACCTAGTAGCGTATGCGCTCGATAAATATTAATATTTAAAAATATGAATATTTGAAGCTGGGTTTAACGATCTTTCCATTTTATATCATATATTTATCTTGAAATCTTTATGCACTGCTAATTCCTTCACAGAAACTCTCTATCCGTGTGCTCTACAGGGTATTCGCAGATGGTGGCGTGTAAAGACAAGCAATAAAATGCGAGGCAGCTTTAAAGTTTTTGCGCGCCAAAAAAGCAGGCAACAAAAAGCGAAGCGCGAAAGGTGAGAGTCCATAGTGGCAGGGACAGGGACGGGGGCGGACAGTAGGTGCGAAATGTTTATATGGCACATAAAACTAGCGCACACCGTGTCGCATTGTTGTCCCCGAAGAGGGAAGAGGGGTGCAGGGTGCTGGACGCCTAGGGTTGCCATTTTTATTTTATGAACTTTTATTATGTTTATTTGCTTTTACTTTTTTTTTATACTCGAGCGCCCAGCTGCCTGCCTGTAGTAAACAATAATCATAATAATCGTAATCACAGTCGCAGTCGTAGTCGGCGTCGCAGTTAGCAAAGCGAAACATTTGCAGGCGTGCTCGACTAGTGTATACTCTAGACTGTAGAATAATTTGTGTTGTAAATAGTCATAAAGGCTTAATTTAAGTTGTTCCCCCTTATTAAATCCCTAACATTTGTTAAACTTTTATCAGGAAAAAATCACGAAATTTCCAGAAAATGAAGACTTAAGTATTCAAAATGTTTAGTTGATTTGATATTTAATGAAGCGAGTAGGTATCTCAAAACTTAAAAGCTTTATCAAATCTCCGATTTAAGCAAAAACAATTATCGATTTTAAAGAAAATTATACGTCTAATTTGGTGCTTCCAGCCTTTGCATTCTTCGATGTAAGCTAAAAACACAAGGTCTATGAATTGATAATTATCGATTTGAAGGAAAATGATGAGTGTAGGCTCTACGAGTACCTATCCATACAATACAATGTTTCAAGCTTTTGCAGTCTCCTTGATATAGCTTAGTATAAAATGTAGTACCTGATAGGGTCACTTGCACTACCCGCTTTGGCCGCTGTTAAATGGCTACAGGGTATAAGAGACAGGCAACAGGGTAAAAGCGCCGCCCATTTTGTCCATTTCGTGTTGCCTGCTTTTAGGCGCTTTCGCACGTTTGTTCACACCTAGTCAAGCGCTTGCACGGCTACAGCTCCGACTGAGGCGCACACAATAAGCAGACACAAATACACACACGAACACACACACACGCAAATACACACTGTTTCGCTTTGTTGTGCGTTGTACTAAATTGCGCACAATTGGAAGCATACTTTCGGGCGCCTGCGAGCATTTAGTGTGCACTTCTTGGCCAGCGCACGTTAACAGAATTTGAATGCAAATTTCGTCCAGCCCCATCCCCGCCCCCAAGCTCTCTTTTGCTCCTCACGCAGTTCGCGTCCTTTATTTATCGCACTTTCCCGGGTATGTCTGCTCAACTGTAGCATTCTTTAAGGCGCTAGGCACATTTCCCTGTTCTGTTTTCTTGTTTTGTTTTTGTTTGCCCTTTCTCTTGAAGGCTTTTATTTTATTTATTCTACAACGCATTAAACGGACTTTTCTTTTCTGGTTGGGAATATATGCAGAGATTGTTTTGATGGATTATTTTCTTGTGAGGGAACGTGATTATGAAGCTAAAATAATTCTTTTTGGTGCATTTTGATCGAAAGAGTAAAGTTTGGGATTGTATCAGCCATCGGAGAGATTGTTAAAATGGAATATTATTAAAGTTGTTTTTGGTTTAGCATAAAGTGTTTACAAGCGCAACGCCTTAAAATAAATAATTAGTAATTCGCAACGTTTGTTTTATTACTCGCGGCTATTCCCCGGCCTTGCCCGTGACAGGTTTTGTGATTTACATTTTAGATATAACTTTTCACTCTGCTCACCGCGCACGAAAATTTTAATTTACTAAAAAAAATTAGTTTAAAGCCCATCGAGATAAAAGCCCAAAGCTGGGTAAAAGCATATTAAATTAGGAATAATAGTTTTATTATTCCATTTTCTGACTTTATTTAGCTTAAATTTAAATAAGTGGAAAGCCTTGCCTTTGTCTTGTTAAAATTTAAGACTTCACTCAGCTTTAAATTTGAATTGTTTCAATATCAAATGTTACTTATAATTTGTCAATTCGATGATGCTATCAAAATTCCTTAACAACTAATTGACCTTAATACCCCAAATCAATAATATTAAGGCGGGAGGTCAAACAATGCACACTTGTGTGTGTGTGTGTGTGGGTGTTCGTGCGTCTGTGTTTGTGTGTGGCTGCTGTGGCATAATTTCATTAGATTGGCCCTGGCCATAAGGCTTATCGCAAACGTGGCTTAATTAGATTAATGAAAATAGGCTTAGAAGCACGCAGAGTCGCATGGCATGTGCATAAAAGCGGCTTCAAACAATTATGTCTAAACTGAACATGAATACCCCCAAACATTCAAACACTCAGGCACTTAGGCACTCAGACATTTATGTCAATGCATACAGCTTTAAGTTTAAGCTTGAAATTGATTTTGGTTCTCTTTCGTCCAACACACCGCTTGGCTGCCATTTGCCAGGCGCAAATTAAGAAAACAGGAAAAGCTACAGAAATTTATGGAAAAAATGACGTCGGAGCATTTTTGGCTTGCTAACAAATTTGTCGAACTGTTAAAACTGGACGCTGTCCGTGACACACAACAAATTCAACGCCCAGGCGGAGGAAATATTTTATTTTTTTAATTCTTTGCCCCATGCCCCATGCCCCGTGACCCATATCCCAGTGCTGCAAGCGTTTTATGTTTTCAAATTAATTTTAAACAGTTTTCTTTATTTTTCTTATTTTTGTTTTTTTTTTTCATTCTTCAATTTACCCCCTCTTGACATTTCGCTGGCAAACTTGTGCGCGAGTTCGAGTTTTGACATAATCTATTATAAGCGCTTATAATAAGTTTTTTTTTAGGGGAGCGGGTCCTTTTAATTGTAGGCGTGGCTGGACTTAATGAGACCAGCTTGAAATGTGCGTCAGGGGTGTGATTTTTGGTGGGCGGGAGGGTATGTGCAAATACACAAAGCATTTAATTAATATTTATGCGCGGTGAGGCAGACGAATTTTGAGTGGAAACAGTGCTCTAAGATTCTTGTAAAAGTGTTGGGCAAATTGTAAATGCTTGTGGCTGCCACGGCCTTGGCCAAATGTATCAACATTAATAAATCACATAATTCACAAAAGTTACCTTCAAAATCACAGTGGCTGCCACTTGCGGTTCTTTTATACACACACACGCACACATACACATGCAAACACACGCCCACATATAGGGGCGGAATATGACAGTGACTTATTGTAGTCAGTTTTTATGTAGGTTTGCGTGAGTGTTTGTGTGTGGGAGTGTTTTTCTGTGGGCTGCTCATAAATTTAATAAAACAAAAACTTAAGTAGCTCTGAAGGTAAACGCCAAGCGACTGCCGAGTAAAAGCTTGGATTTGAAAACTCAGAGTTACTTATTTCCTTGAGAAGGTATACAATTTTATGCAGTACTCTCCCATATTTTATATAATCTACCAAGTTTAGAAAACAGACAATAATCATAATCAATAAGTCAACACAAAAAAACAATAAATTCAAACCATATATATTACATTATAGTTTGTTTGTTTTGGCATAATTTTTGACGCTCTGTGAAATTTCCAGCACGTGTAATCTTTTTAAGAGTCGTATGTTTCAGAGCCAAGTTATATTTATGATTGTGTAACCTATTTAAAAAGCTCACAGCACATTTATTTATATGATTTCTAGCACAAAATTTTAAATAAAATTCTCTACAATTTCATAGCAAGCTTTTTAAGCAGACACATATTCACGAAGAATTATTATTTGTTAGCCATGATTTGCCCTTTATATATTTCTA